AAAATGGCCCACAGATGGATATTTCAAGGAATTTCTATTGCACTTTAAATTCACATCCTACCGTAATCCACATTAATTTTCAAGTGTAGACAAGCCCCAGTTTGCCACTCCTTATGAGTGCTGTGTCTTTGTGCTTTGTTGGGAGGAGGGATTTTGTAAAGGAAGGTCTATCCTTTTTCTCACTGTGTCTCTCAGCGCACAGTAATAGGTGGCAGAGTCAGACAACTGAACCGATGATATATCCAAAGGGAAAACCCGGCTGGTTTTATTAATTTTGGCTTTGAAACGGTTCCTGAACCTCTCTTCCAAATCTTCCTGTCTGGAGCCCTCATGAAGGATGAACTGTGGCGATCCTCCGGATTCCTGCCTGTACCAGAGCAGCGTTGGGAAGCCAGAATTATAGCTACAGTCCAGGGTAACAAATTCCCCTTCCTTCACTTTTGTTTCTCCCACGGGTTGGATGACTGTCTGTCCTTGGGTGAGCCCTTTAAACACATCAAAGTAACATCGGAGTTATCACAAAACCCCTAGGACACACAGATTTCATCTCAGTCTTTTAAGCAAACATCAACCAAGAAGAGAAATAGAAGCTGGAATTAAACACTATGGTATTCATAAGCTCACCGGACCAGTTCAGGGTTAGGATAAGTACCAAGGGAAGCGCAGGCATGCTGAGACCTCAAGGGTGTTTGTCGCTGCTGTGAGAGAGGTCCCTTTGGTGTGAACCTCATGAGCTGCTCTCTCATCTCACCGGAAATAGGTGCTTTTCTTTTTTAGGTGCATGCCTTGTTCAGTTTAAGATGATTCATCCGGGCCTGATCCAAAGTCTTTTGAAGTCAACAGGCTTTTCCCATTCACTTTAAGGGTTATTGAATCAGGCCCGTTATAGGAATATATTACACCGTGAATGTGGACAAGAATATAGCTTATGAAAATTGCACTGAATTGCACTATACCCAGGGGCGACAAAAGGAAATGCCCCATATCTCTTCTCAAGAAGGGAAGAGAGGTGATTCATTGTCATAAGAGTTAAGATAGATAGATAGATAGATAGATGGGGTGGATGGGGATAGATAGATAGATAGATAGATAGATAGATAGATAGATAGATAGATAGATAGATAGATAGAACGAGCATGTGTTATCAGGTACTAGCCACCATGGAATCCGAATCTCTTTTCCAGTCCGTATTCCATCCAATGATTTAAAGATTCAAATACAGTCATTAAAGGACATTCTAGTCTACTCTAGTGTAGCCTAGTCTCATTTCTTGTATTGTATTGTATTGTATTGTATTG